TCCCTCTCTGCCTGTCCCTCCCAACACTCATGTGCTCTCTCTCTCTCTCTCTCTCTCTCTCGAGAAGGTGAAGGTGAAAAAATGTAAGTAAGTACTCGAGAGAGAGAGAGAGAGAGAAAGAAAGGAAGAAAGAAAGAAAAGAAGAAGAAAAAAAAGAAAGAACCAACCAAGATCTGGTGCTAAGAGTGTTCATTGCTACTGGGATGTTGTCATTTCCAGGCCTCTTTAGCTGTCAGAGCAAGGAAATATATGTATATGTGTGTACTGACCTGTGTATATACAGCTATCTAAACTATTTCTATATGCAACCATAGTTACTAATAATGGCTAAACATGAGTTCAGTGTGTTGTCTCCAACTCTATTTTAATACCTTTGGTAGAGTACATCTAACCACTTTTTTCCTCATTTATCTGTAGAGTCCCTCTCCAACTGTGAGAAATCTGGCTTTTGCTAACTGCTAATTCCAGAATAGATATATAGCAGGATCAGAATTTTTACTCTTTACCCCTAGAGGAAACAACTTTCTTGACTAAAGGATAGTCCTAATGTACAGTACCTTTTTCCTATCATCTTACTGTTTCCAAAGCATGGAATGCTTCACAAATTTGCATGTCATCCTTGTGCAGATGTCAGGCTTCAGTCCATCATTCTAATTTTAGTACACATGCTGGAGTGAGCCCAATAATCAAAAACAAGCATGATAATATGACGATTGCAGGAAAGAAGAATATACTTACCTATATACAAAAACCTTTTGACATCTGTTATCTAGTTTCGTTGACTTTGTCTGTTTAAAGGAAAAAAGATCCCCCTCCAAACGTACATAAATCATCATATTGTTAAATTACTTAAAAGTTATCAAAATATTCATGTTTTAAAATGTTTAAAAGACATCAAGGTCCACTGTTTTTCTTGTTTACCTCACTTAGTAAATAAGAATACTTGACAATTAGCAACTTAATTGTTTATATATCAGTGAAGGTTTAGTGGTAGAATTTTAAGATCTAAACAAAAGTTTATCTTTTTAAAAAATTAAATTAAGCATCCTTCCAACCTCATCTTTCTTCTGCCTTATTTTCACTATCAATAATTTATGACTTTGTAAAGCAAAGGTCGTGTTTAGTGTCCACCCCCCCCATCTCAAAGGCTGCTGATTATGAGTTATGTTTACTTATTTATTAAAATATTTATAATAAATACACATTGTTCCTTACCATCCACTTAACTCTTTACTACCTCTGGTTTCACTTAAAATTTTTTCCAGCTCTGTTGAAGGATTGATTATTAACAGTTAAAAACTGTATACAGTTAAGGTGTACAATGTGATGTTTCAGTGTACTCACACATTGTGAAATAATTACCACAATCAAGCTAAGTAACATATCTATCACCTCACATAGTTACCTCTTTTTTAAAATTTTATTTTATTTAAATTCAATTACATAGTTACCTCTTTGTGTGTATGGTGAGAATACTTGTGATCTGCTTTTAACAAATTTCAAGTCTGTAATACATGCTTTATATTAGATACAATGCCATGTTGTGTATTATATCAGCAATAATAAAAATAAATACTTTCATACAACTGACAATGGATGTAATTTTTACACATTTAATTGCAAATATTTTAACCTTGGCCAAAAGAACCCCTATTTTTGTTTAGTATCACCTAAGTTATGTTTTATTTTGTCACTAAAAGATTTTGGATGACTGGATCACATAGAAATAACCATTTTTAAAATACAGAGTAATGTTCTTGTTTGGAAAAAAGAAAACCCATTTTAAATTGTGTGTGTGTGTATACTACTTAACTTCTTTCCTTTAAATGAAGCATTGCTAGCTATAAATCTCTGTATTTTTATAAATGTGGATGGGCTCACCTTAAGCAGAGAAATTGGAAAGACAACAAGTTATTTTTCAAGTGTTTTCTAAATAATAACCACCAAAAACGTTATATGATATTTGTAAGTTGTGATTGAATCAATGATTTTAGTCATATTTCCCAAAGGCTGGGTTCTTTTGAAGGTGAAAAAACGTAAGTAGGTTTTCTCATAGAACCTGGACTAGTTTTCTAAGGCTGCCATAACAAAAATACCACAGACCAGGTGGCGGTGGCTTAAATTTATTTTCTCACACTTCCGAAGGCTGGAAGTCCAAGATCAAAGTGTAGGCCAGTTCAGTCTCCTTGGGGACCCGGATTCCACCCTCTTGTTGCGTTGTCACGTGGTTGTTCTTCTGTACGTGCACGCTAATGGTGTCTCTTCCTCTTCTCGCAAGGACACTGGTCATATTGGATTAGGGCCCATCACAGTGGCATCTTCTCAACTTAATCATCTCATACCAAATTACTTTAAAATATGGTCACATTCTGGAGTAGTGGGATGGGGACGTCAACATACGAATTTGGGGGGGACACAATTCCAACCGTAACAGAACATTTTGTTGTGGCTTCTAGAAATCAGACTCTGTATTCTGTTTGTCATTGCTTTTGGTTTTAATTATGCAATTCTTACCTTAGAGGATAGTTGAAGTTTATCCTGGAAGAAAAATGCTAGTTGGCAACTGCGTTGTTTGTCTTTAATTTCCCTTTCTTATTCTTTTTCGGAGAAGTAATTCTTGGTCTTTTTTCAGGGGTTCATGCACAGCTTTGAAAATCTGATGAAAGCTATTATATCATTTAGCTTTGACAAACTGCCTCAAAACTCAGTGGCTTAATACAATAAACTTTTTTTTTTTTTTTTTTAATCAATACACTGTGTGTTGGTGAATTGGGCTGGTCCCAGTGAGGACTGCTGATCAGTGTATTGGATGAGCTCAGTATGCATTGCGGTCACCTGGTTTCCAATGGCTTCACTCACATGTCTTATGGTTAACTGTCTGTATGTACTGGTGGTGGAGGTAATTGGTCATATATTATCATCATCCAGCAGGCAGACCTGGCCTGAATCACCTGGTTGTGTTCATAGGGTTTTCAAGAGCAGGAAGGAAGAAAAAGCCCCAAAGAATAAGTTTAAGTCTCTCCTTGTATCACTTTCATTGGTATCTTCTTGGCCAAAGCAAGTCATATCAAGTCCAGATTCAATGCGTAGAGAAATAGACTCCAGCACTGGATGGGAGTTGCAAAGCCACAGTGCAAAGGGGCACACCTGTGGGAATAAGAAGAGTTTGTGGTCTCCACTGAGAGGGAGGAGGAGGTGAAGTGATGAGAACAATCAACTGAGTAAACTCTGTTGTTACAAGTGTTTTCCCCCAGGTGGAGTAATTATTTTTTCAGAAGAAATGAAGGCTCTCCTCTGAAGAAATACAGTTGCTGGCTGTTGAGAATGAAAGCATACCAGGAACAGGAAATGGAAAAAGGGTCTGAGGGGAAATGGGTAGAACACTCACAGCATCTGCTTCATGAGCTTTTGGAAATGTGAAACAAACCCTCTGAGTTCTCCGTAGATTAAAACCTGAGAAATTTGCCTGTGGGGAACCAAAGACTTTTTTTTTTTTTTTTTCTGTAGAGGACATTATTTTTTGTTAATTCATTTTTTGAATGTGAACAGTTGACCAGGTGACAACAGGAGATACTTTTTTATACAGTTAAAAAAAGCAGAGCTCTGGAAATTTCATTCCCAATTCCCCCATTGCCATATTATTGAACTCAAAATACCAAGAATGAAAATGCTCAGCTGAGAATCCTAGAAATCATACTTTTCCTCTGCAAACATGTAATGTAAATCTAAAATCAGGAATTCATAGTCTCACAAAAAGAACAATTCCTTGATTATTCCTGATAGTCACCATTGATTATGTCTAATTGTTCTAATATCAGTTTGTCAGTTTCTTTATACCTTAATTCACCATCAAAGTTAACTCTTAATCCCTCCTCTATTTATGTAGAGGGCTGAACATAGTCCTAAATACATCATAGAATGAATTGCTAAACTATTTAATTTAGGATGTGTGGGTATTAAAAGCCTTCAACCCTTGACCGAGTTTCATTCTACAAATATGATAGAGGAAACTTATGTTACTCCAAAATATCCAAGGGAACTTCACTTGCCTCCTCATTAAAAAAAACAAACAAACAACAAAAAACGTCAAATCCGTAAATTCTCATGGCTTAAGTTTATTTAAAAGCTGACAGCTTCCATGCCCAGATTGGAAAGGGAATTTCAGAAGACATGAACCTGATGGATGTTGTCATTTTCTGCAACATATTTAGATTTGGTCTTCTTCCTGCCTTATAGGCTAGAGTTGAGTAGCAAAGGAGAGGGGACTTTATCAGTCAGTTTTTCCCATAATAATTCTGATTAACAAGTCACAAAAATTTTGGTGGCATTCAACAATAAGCATTTATTGTCAGACTCACAGGTCTAGGTCTTCTTCAGGCTGTAGATCTATGCATCGTCTGGGTTAGATCTACTTCATGTATCTTCTGCTGGACCCAAGCTGGTGGGATAGCAGTCACTGGGATATGTCTTCTCTTGGTAATGGACAGAATCTCCTAGAAGGACAAATGAAAGTGCTCAATATTTGTTAAGACAAAGGCTCTGGTCTGGTTCACTGACATTTCCATATTCCATTGGCCAAAGTAACAAAACAAAACCAGAGGCAGGTGTGGATAATGCATCCTGCTCACCAAGAGGTCATTGTAAGAGTGAGATGCACAAAATCTCCAGAATGGTAAAGAACTGGGACCAACAGTTCCATCTACCACAGAGGGGTAATTGTTTCTGGAAATAAAAACTTCCTTGGAAATTTAATGGGCAATATTTATATGGTTCATTGATATTTAGTGCTTAAAATGGAATTGCATTATTGTGCTTCTTGATTCATCTGAGTCTGGGAGAATTCAAAGATACTTTCTATAATAAGTTTACTTGAATCAGTGAGGAAGAGTTTCAGTTCTTTTTTCTCATATCTCCAAGTATTGCTTGAAAATTGGACTCTTTTTCTGTGCTGATTTCTTCTCCCTTTTTCAGTATCTATTAACACCCTTGTTTTAATTCAGCCCCGAGGTACTGAAGAGTGAGCCGTATGGGGAGAAGGCTGATGTCTGGGCGGCCGGCTGCATCCTTTATCAGATGGCAACTCTGAATCCCCCCTTCTATAGCACCAACATGCTCTCCCTGGCTACAAAAGTAAGCACTGTTGGGAGACAAAAGGGTCTTGTGTTGCTAAAAATGCCATTCCTTTTCTTCCTAAACAGAACATTTGTGATTTTTATAAAACCATCTATTAAAAGCAGGCACATTGTTTTATTGGCCACATGATCCAGTTCATTTTTTCCCCTTTCTTCTAAATATACATCATGTACTATGGCGCATTCCCCCTATAATTGTCTTCATTTATCATAGAAAATTATACAAATAAATATATCAAATTACTTTTGGTCTTTTATTTTTAATTGTGGTTTGGACTTCCTGCTATCAGCATTTGATATTATCCTACACTCATTTATTGGGGATCTGAGGCTAACTTTAACTCAGTTTGAAGAATACAATCTGTGCTCAAGAGCTGCTTAATTGATGTTAATTTTTTATTTGTTGGGATGTTTTTGTTTCTGATTAAAATTTGTGCATGGTTATAATGCTCATTGAGTAGCTTTCATGTTGTGGCCAAATATTGTACATACTAATGGCCTCTTTACGTCCATCATGCTGGTCTGTCTGTTTTGCAGATAGTGGAGGCAGTGTATGAACCGGTGCCAGAAGGCATCTACTCTGAGAAAGTGACAGATACCATCAGCAGGTAATCATTCTCACCATTTCAAACCCATAGGGACTATCAAGAAATACTTCTCATCTCTACAGATTTACTATGTAAATATTCATGAAGAGGAAGGGCTCCCAAATAATCCAAACCTAGAAAAATATTTGTGCATCACCAGTAATGGTGACCATCTGGAAGCCAGTGAAGTGTGTCCAAGAGGAAGTGGTATATGCACGTGAAATATGCAGCCATTAGAATGATTATTCAGAAGGCTTTGTATCAACCTGTAAAACAAAGATGATAAGAAGCAAACAGGATGTAGAGCTGTTTGTAACTATGATAAAAACTGTAAATACATGCATGAATGTTGGAAAAGACTAGACAAGGACATTAGAAACTAAAGAAGACCATGTTAGATGATAAAATTGCAACCACTTTTTCATTGCTATTTTTAAATTGGTAATGTTATGTTGTATAATAATTTTTCAAAGAAAGTCAGAAAGAAGTACTCCAGCCATCAATATAGTAGGAGTTTAATGAAAGTCATTTCCTGTTGCATTCGCAAAATTCTGACCTCACAGGGCTTGTCCCAGCTGACTTGTCACCCTTCTCTCCCACTTTCCTTCTGCTCCCTCGCTGCCAGCCACAGGGAGCTCCATGCGAGTCCTGGCATGTGCCTGCCTCTTGCCCTTTATCCTTCTCTTCCCTTTTCTCTGACTTCTCTTCCCTCTGGTACATGCGTGGCACAGGCCCCCACTTCCTTTGTGTCTCTGCTGTTATTTCCCATCATCAGGGAGCCCATTCTGATGCCCCCACAGCTCTCCACTTTTTTGTCCCCTAGCCTGCTGTCTAAAGCTTGCAGCACCCATCTCCCAACATGTTAGAAACGTGTGTGTGTGTGTGTGTGTGTGTGTGTGTGTGCACGCGTGTGCATGTGCAGACCTATTTCTTTATTGCCTGTCTTGTCCCCACCAAAAGGAAAACTCTACAAGAGCAGAGACTTTTCCAGTCTGGTTCATAGTTCTCCAGTGCCCAGAGCAGTGCCTGGGACAAGATCAACCCTTAACAAATACTGGTTGTATGAATAAATGACTTGTTTTCCGACTGATTGTTATTTCTATATCAACACATGCTCTTAAGTTAGCTCAAGATTACTTCCCTCCCCCATAGAGCTGAGTCAAATCCTTATTATAGAAATCCCAGAGTCACCCAGATAGAATACCTATCCATTCTCCTGCCCATTTGCCTATAAATTTGGTTCTGTATCTATCCTGGCACTTAGCACCACCTCTGATGGAATGTAAGAGATATATTCCCTTCACTTTCTCCTCCCAGCTCATCGTTTTGCATTAATAGGTACTCCTCACAGTTTGTAGAGTTATATCTTGAATCTTTCCTTGCCCAGCACTATCCTGTCCTACAGTTCTAAGGAGCCTAGGCCCAGCCAGGGCTGAGTTGCACTAACTGCAGATTTTGAGCAAACATTTGACCCTTCTTTCTGCATCTCTATTCCCTCATCCAGTTAGGCTGGTGTAATAATTATACAAGGTAACTGTGAAAATCACTTAGCATAAAGCTTGTTGAATGGTAAATCTTAAACAATACTGGCAGTTGTCATTGTTAATATTAGGAGAAATGAGCTGAAACCCCTTTTTGAATAATCTGAATTCTGCATATATTAGATCATGCCCTGTTGCTAATGAATCCAAACAAAGGTATTTAAATTTCTCCTCTCCACGATTTGGACCTGTTCTCTGCTATTTGTTTTCTGGAGAGTGACTCAAAAATTCAAGAAGTCTCCAGAGATGTCAAGACAAGAATACCAGATTTACTCATTCAATTTCTTCTTTTCATAGGTATTTGAGCATCACAAAGAGTAGGGGAGGGATGGCACAGTGAAAATATACAGAGACATTATTCTGATTTTGTGGCACTGGGCGAACAGGACCTTAATTTGCTTCTGACAGGCTCCCTGGCTGTTGGTATCCATGTGCCTGGGGCTAACAAGTTGGTGGAGGAGTCAGGTACCAACATCACTTGGAAAGGTTAAGAACATCAGTAGATTGTGGAATCAGCTGGATTTTAATCCCTACTCTTCCACCTATCCCCTTTTCTCATCTGTGATGTACAGGTAGCAATAGTAACCACTCACGGGGTTGTTCTGAAGATTAAATAAGATAATGCTTTCAGTGCTTTTAGCATGATACCCAGCACTTAGTGAACCCTCAATAAAATTAGATATTATTGCTAATAATAGTAGTGTTACTATTTATGGAATTAAGTATATAAATTAAATTATGATAAACTAGATGAAGAATGGTAAAGGGAATGAGCAATGAGTGATTCCAGAAGGACTTGGCCTAGTCTAGGGACTTTAGGAAGTTTCTGTGAAGAAAGAGCCTATAATCTGAGACCTGAACAACCATTAATCCTCAAATAGTAAAGAGTAGAGGAAGCATTTCACAGACCAGCATAGAGCTTATTAGTTTGAGGAACTAGAAGAAATTGGAGATGTAGCATGTTAAGTCAGGGAGAGAATAACCAAAATGATTAGGGCCTGGGGAGGCTGATGGGGCCAGATTGACTACGTCTGATAGGCCATCTTGAGGGTTTTGAATTTTTTTCAAGAGTACTGAGGAGAAAACTTAAGGTTATTTACAGGTGGGATATAGAGAAAATTTCTTCTGTAACAAAGATCATCCTCGCTGCTTTGTGGACAATAGATAGCAGGGAATGGCGGCAGGAGGCAAAGCAGGTCCAGCTGTCCACCAAGACATGATGGCAGCTCTGACTAGAGTGGTGGTATTGTTGATGGAGAGAAGTGGAGCTGTTTCCATGGTGGCTTGGCAGTTAACAAGTTTGGGGGTACAAGCATGAAAATGGAATGACATTGAAAATGTGAAAACAATTGGGTTTATTCTGTGGAACTTCAGAAAATGGAGCCAAGACCATGGAGTGGAGTCCCAAGGAGGCTCAGGTCAGTTTGTCATTAGAAGTGTGTGTCAGAATTGTAGATACCCAAGCAAGGCAGACTGCGGGGTGGAGAGTGAGTTCCCCAGCACCACAATGTTTAAGGGTATGAATGATCACTATTAAGGGACTCTAGATTAAATATTTGTTAGGATGCTTTTTTGTTTTAAGATTTTATTTATTTGAGAGAGAGCATAAGAGAGAGTGATAATGAGCAGGGTTTGGAGTAGGGAGTGGCAGAGGAAGAGGGAGAAGCAGGCTCCCCACTGAGCAGGGAACTCAACATGGGGCTCAATTGCAAGACCCTGGGATCATGACCTGAGCTGAAGGCAGACGCTTAACCAACTGAGTCACCGAGGTGCCCCTATAAGGACACTTTCAATTCAAAATAACTAAGATGCCATAAGTAAGAACTGATAATTTTATTTTAATTTTATAACTGACTATACATGAAGATGACTGTGCATTCTATAGCAGATGTGGTTTTCACTTAAGGTTATTCAAGACTCATTGTCTGGGTTCACATCACAAAGTTTTATCTTTAGAAAATTTGACATAAAACCAAATTCAGTCATGAATTTTATGCAATTAAATATTTAATTTGCTTTGGATTTTTAATCTTTAAAAATTAAGTTTCAAAAGAATAAGGAAACAAATTTAATCTTCTATTTTCTTAGTTTCCTGTTTTCTTCAGAAAATCAATGCAAGGAATACATAAAGGCAAAAGTAGTCTTAATGATCATTTATGACTCAGCAAATCATCAGGCTCAGAGCTGATTACCAATAACATGATAGAGCCTTTGAAATGCAAGACAGCCATCGATGGGCAAGTTCACGAGACTCATTCTTAATTTCACACTTGGTGTTTCCAGTTACATGATCTTCTTGCTTGTTCTGCTTTTCCATCTTCTCATTTTCACCTTCTACACCCCGACTTGGGTAGAGCGCGTGCAGTTGTGTGTCTCACATGCAATCTTTCCTTTTTCTTGTTTGTTCATGTGGTGTATTAGCACATTCTGTCACTGGAACTTTTCTTTCCCAGCAGGCTTTTACACTGGGAGAATAACTTAGCAACACTGAAGAGTCTGGGGCAGAAAATAAATCCATTTTGTTGCTCTGCCCAGTACCAGCATTACTATTTTTACCTTCCAGTACCCTGTTCAGAGAATATTGTCTGTTTACTTTCTAAAAGAGAAGAACATTTCCTTTTATGCACAAAATCTTCCAATTGCCTTACATCTCTCTATCTGTGCCTGGTTGCAGAAGCCGTCTGGTGCTTTGTTTCAGAGGCGGTTATGATGACTAGCACAGTTAATGTTTTCGGCTAGTTCTAAGGACAAGTGGATCTTTACATTTTTCACCCAACCTTCAGTTCTTTGGTTTTCTCTTTTTTAAAAAATTTCCCCAAAGTAAATTTAACATGTTCCATTTTGTAAATTTATGGTGTACAGTGTGTCACTTCAATATATTTATATATTATAATATGATTGCCAATGAAGCAATATTAATCACATTACATAATTATATTACAATATCATTGGCTGTATTCATTATTCAATGCATTAGACCTCCATTATGTGTTTATGACTCATTACAAGTTTGTACCCTTAGACACCATCATTCTTATCCCCCCAATGCTCATGTCCTGGTAACCACGATTTGTTTTCTATTTTTTTATAGGTCTGATTTTTCTAGATTCCATATAAGTGTTGTCATACAGTACTTGTCTTTCTCTGACTTACCTCACTTAACACAATGTGCTCGAGTTCCATGTATGTTGTCAAAAATGGGAATCTATCTTCCTTTCTCCTGGCTGGTAATATCCCCTTGTATATATGTACCACCTCTTTTTTATTCATTCACATGAGAATGGGTATTTGGGTTTCCATATCTTGGCTATTGTGTATAACGCTGCGATAAACATGGGAATGCAGATACCTCATTGAAATTCTGTTTTCTTTGCTGTTGGGTATATTCCCAGAAACAGAATTGCTGGGTCATATCGTAGATCTATTTTTTAATATTTTAAAGGAATCTCCATATTGGTTTTCATAGTGGTTGGACCAGTT